CAGGGAAGTCACTGGACAGTGACAGTAATGAGTTCTGAAGGAGATAATTTTGAAATGACGTCGCAATACATATATTTAGTTATGCCAAGCAGGACCACATGTAGAGATTCCACGGGGGTGTCGAGATGACCGTCAAAGCCTGTATCACATACGTCAGCTCACATTAATATCATTAATTCGAAATGAAGGGGTAAGTTGAGGGATCATCACACCTGCTAAACGTAGAAAAGGATTGAACATGTGTTCACCATATTTATTCTCCAAAAATTCACAACGGCGTGAGATTTCATCCTGTGCCATCTGATCGCCTTTTGGTCTATGCTTGTTAGATCGGTAGAGCTGCTGAACCTCTTTTGCAAAGGGGAGATTTAAAGAGTCTTGAGTTCCATATAATTTTGAAAGGTCATCAAAACGTTTAATGCTTTTTGGATTGCGTGTCAATGCCCACAATTCTTTGGTCTGCTCTTGTGTTTGGGACCAACTGCGAAGGGGTCGACGGGCCTAAGAGCAACAACTTAATCTCAGTAAAATTACAACCAAACTACATGGTTCATATAAACTTGACCCTCACCGGCATCCAATCTTCATTGATTCCAACAAACTGTTGAACATACGTCTCTGTTTGTTTTTCCGCTCTTGACTCGACTGTCAAGTTACATATTTGACAAGGTGATAAAGTTCCCGATGGGTTTGTCATATTTGAAATTTCAGCATGCATTGGTGAGTCACCCATGTGGCATAGGATGAATGGGACAACTAGCACATGGTCCTGCAAGCAAAAATCATAAGCACGGAAACCAGTGGACGCCACTTGACTAATTCACTATAATCAGATCAAATGAATCACAATCATTTTGGCCAATAAGCTACTGAAGACGTACTTCAATTCATCCACAATTTGGTCTCCTTGCTCCAAAGCACTTGCAATATTTGATGTACACAGCGAGTGAATGTGATATTCCTGATTCGTGAATTTCGGTGTGAGTCCGGCCAAAGAGAAGTAGAATGACATATGTTTATTCCATTTTTTGGACCTATTTCCAGAATTATCATCGGAGTACAGAACTACTGGTACACTACGAATGATCATGCTGTTGGCCTTAGCCCTCCACGGATTTGGGATATGTATGATTGAAAGGCCTGTATCCAAATTTTCTAACAAAGGACATTATGATCAGCTTTACTTTGATAGAACATTGAAGACACGCATTGGTAACTCACGCAGTAATAGAGTGGTTGTAGATTCAGACAATTTCTGACCATTCCACAATTCAATTTGAAGGAAAGATCTTGCAAACTCTTCCACATTAACGTCCAAAAAATTCCCCGAGTCAAATTTCGGCTCAGCAGGTATCATGAAGTCATGAGACCCTCAACAAGCCGGTTTAACCTCCAAACATTTTGCACGTATAATTGTGTTGTCTTTATAGAAAAATATAGGGACCACTACGCGCGAGTCTTCAAGCTGGCAGGGCTCGTATATGTAAAAGTGCTCTCCATATACCTTGACCATTGGTACTCGAAGATTTGGCGAGAGGTCTTCACGCCACTTCTTCGATTGTGAATAACGGTCCACAGTCACCCCCCGGTCAATTTCCGGTATAAACTCAATGTGGGGACCTGTTTCAGGGTTAGACAGCTCCTACAACATGTCATCAGGAATGCGAAACTGACAAATGCGAGACTAACCATGATTAGGAAAAAGAATCACTTACTTGTGATATGATATCCTTGACTGAGAGCGTAAAGCAAGGGTTTCCGTGCGGACTGATTCTCTCTAAGACAGTAAGCCCCAGACGTTCCTTGAGCTCGGTGCGAATATGTTTGATGTGGCCTACAAAGTGTGAGAACTGTCAATATATATAACTTTGGCATTTGGGGCAAGAGCACAGCATTACTGACCGAGGTCAGGCAAATCCACGTTCAGGACCTTCTTGAGAATACACCGTATACATTTGTACTGTGCGGTGGACATTAAGTTGCGCCCAGTGCCCAAAAGCAACAGTGCGGCAACATGCTTTACAAGGGAAGAGATGTTTTGTCAGCAATAGAAGAGGTTTTATGTGGGGTAACCAACACACCTCTGTCTTTTGTAGAGGATACCACGGCAGCCATGTGTCGGTGGCCGAGATGGCCTCGTCTTCAGGATGAGGTACCATAGTACTCTCTGAATCCGATAGATCATCCAGGAATTGGTCGAGATCAATACTTGAGCGTCTTGACGGTGGCAAATCGAGCTCCGGAGGTTGATTTGGGTCATACAGAGACTCAAGGTCATCGGATCGTGTGTCCATATTGACATCAAAAACCTCGTCAAGTATATCTGCCGTGCGGGGAGGTCCTGGATCATCGAGATCGGCCTGGGCAACACCGTCGTCGTCTGGAACAATTGGAGAGACGGCAGGACCCGATCGATCGTGCTCCACGGTGGAACGGGCGGCTAAACCTGGCGTGGGCACGATATTCTGGGCCCTAGAGGAGTTTTCCATTTCAACTTGGACTCGGTTGATGTGAGTGGCGAGCTTGCTGTGCTTCTTCCGATCTTTGAAGGTGCGGCTTGTGCATAGCTTACACCCCCAATGGCCCATGTTTGGGCCCGATTGGATTTGTACAAAGTCTGCGAGAGCGAGGACGATAACGATATCTTCGTAAGCAAAGGGTCAGGTTCCGAATCCATCACACCATCAAACTCACACTCATCAGCGTTGGCTTGATTTGGAGATATGAACCCAACAGGCATTGTATCATGGGTGGAATTTCAGTTTAGTGATTGGTAGTGTGCGAAAAGGATCTTTGGCAATGTGGATGTCAACGTCTTGGGGTTCAGAAACCCGATCGGCGAACAGAGGAGGCAAATGTGAGAGGTTTCATCTCTCACAGTCAACTTCGGATTGCTTCGTCTGTATTGCACCTCCTGGAAGATGTCTCAGTGATGTGGTCTCACAACTCTGGGACACGTCTCAGTGTTGTGAGAATGGGGGTGCATTGGCACCATGTGCATCCCGCGAGGCATTCGCCGCTCGAAGCTCTCATGATATTGGAATCGAATATAATGCAGTCTCCGCATGCTCACGCTGGTACGTCAACCTGGGCCGTTGAGGTTGCGTGTGATTCACGATAGGTGGACATGGTGATATATCACGTATCAGACCTAAGATTCACACAGGTCACCCCTGCGTTTTGGAAAGGGCCGGGCTGCGCGTGAAAACACCAAAAAACCCTTCAGTGGTGTAGGTTGGGTGGCACACTATCATGCGAGAGAAAAAAAAAAACAGAAAAAAAGCTTCCTTCGAGATGGCTGTTGGAGTCTGAGGTAAGTGATGATTCCGAGCTGCTGAGATTGCAGAGCGAAGAGGTACAAATGATTTTTGGACACTTGGAAGGTCCACAATCTTTGAAGCGCTGCCTCTGTTACCTCTGAGGCCTCTTGGGTTGCATAGCAAAATGAAGGGTTGAGGGTTTGATAGAGCAATGAGATGGGGATGAATCAATCAAGCCATATCACAATCAAAATCATGACTTTTTGAAATTTGAAAATTGACCCGGCCCCGCTCAAGAATATAAAAAAACAATCCAGTGTTACGGCAGTCTTGGTGTTGAGCACTATATGAGTTTTTGAGTTTTTTTCAGAGTTTTTCAAAAACTGAGTGAGCTCTTTCTTTATGTGTACTCTCTCAAGTTGATTGAACAATCAACTTTAATCCCTCATCTCAATTGCACATATCATCTTCAAATCCGGTACATTTCTCTCAACTTGGATGGAGTTTACTGACAATGATTCAACTCAAGTTGTGCATTGTTTGGTGGCTTCAAATGCATCAAATCAATTTGTTGATATTCCCTTTGATTGATGTAGCAAAGAAATTGGTTTGACCTTGGAGGTCAAATGGACAAATCTGATGGCAGACCTCTGTGATAATTCAAACGGGAAGAGCCAACAATTTTAATCAAATAAATGGGATGAATTCATCAAAAAGTAGAAAGTTGAGGAGGGAGAGGATAGCCATACAACATGATGATTGCTATCAAAATGAGCTACAAATAATGCTTGAGCTCAAAGCAAGAGGAATCAAGTTTGTTCATGATTGTTATATCAATTGATTGAACCAACTTCTTGCCCAGTTTTTGAAAAAACTCAGTCACTTGAGCTTTCTTTTTTGAAAACTCAAGGTTTTTTTTTTCTCCAAAGTCATCAATTATGCAAAGGGCTGTACAGTCAACTTTGTTATAACCAATATGTGTCAAAACCAATACTCTTGGAAAACCAATAGGTTTTTGGCCATTTTCTTTTGTTAATTTTCAGTGAAATCTACTCTGACAAAACAGATACTCCATGAAAACCATGAGTTTTGGACCCAATCTTTTGGGTATTGGTTATATCAGAGTCTACTGTAGTGGCAAAGAAAGTTTTCTCTTCAGCTCTTGTGTGGTCCCAAGTTCCTGTTGTAACCCATAGTTCACTATTGAATATGTTCACAGTTTTAAGACAATTTGATTCAATCCAACCATCACATTGGAAAACATTTAAGGGGTACTTTTAGTTATCCACTAGCTGTTCCTCACCATTGATAAGCTGGTTTTCATGATTCAAAGTATCTTCTAGGCGCAAGGAGGTAAGGAATTGATGGTAGGGTGATTGGGAATTGTTTGTGTGTAAATTTGATTTGCATAGTTAATTTGAGCATAGCAAGGAGGAGTCCCCAGTTGTGTTTGTGACAGGGATGTAGGAACGAGTACCAAGTATGAGTATATACTCAACTGATACTCACTTTGTACGGGTTTACAGGGCCAAAAATAGGCAAAAATACTCAGTATACTCAATAATACTCACTTTACTGAGTAAACTCATACTCACTTCTGCATCCCTGGTTCCTGAGACCTGCAAGTACATATGTGTGAGGTTTTTGAGTTTGGTTGTTGCATATTTTGTATGACGTGGTACATAAGTTGTTGGTGATTGTTACAAAGAATGGGAAGATGAAGTGTTGAAATCATGGATTAAGGATTCCCTTTTCCAGGAAATTTCCTTTGAGCCTTTATTTGATCCAGAAAGGACCTCCGATTGTGGCCTGACCACAGGAGCCACAAGCCACTGATTGAATTCAAGCAATTTGCGCTAAATGAATGATTGATTTGAACACAGTCCAAGTGAAATTCAAACAGGATTTTTCCGGGTTGAGGACACCTACACAGGGTCCAGATCTTATACTCATGACATGTTAGCAAAGGAGTCATACATTTTTGGTATCAATATAGGTATTACTTGTACTGAGTATTTGTTGATTGGCTTGGCTCAACTTCAGCCGGGTGTAAAGAGTGTGTTCCAAAGCTGTGCAAAGCGCAGCCTGGCACCAAACACACAACAATCTCAACACAATCTTGGAGCACAATTTGCTAATGTGTTGTGAGTGTAAAATTTGGACCCTGTGCTGATGATTGAGATACTTGGCAAAGCCCAAGAAGAAACTGTACATTGTCCTTTCTTCCATGGAGTACTTGGCTGTGTAGGTTTTGGTCACATTCCTTCATGGCTGCTTTGTTCACTTATGGTGGGAGACAGCAAACATAAGGAAAAGCCTGGTCAGTCCTTGACCAGTATGTCAAATCCAGCTCAGCCCGCAATTATCATGGTATCCTTGTAAAAAGCTACTTTTGAGGTGCCATCATCCAGAGCATCTCAAAAGTAGCTTTTTAGAAGGATCCAACAACATTTGTGTTTTTTTAAATTTGATTTCACATTAAAATATAAACATTTGTATCTTAGAAAGTTTAGTGTGTGTAATCTTAAAAAAATGATGACTCTGCCAAGGACAGAGTGGTACAACACTCTGAGAAAAATGGGGAAAAACAAACGAGATTGAGCTCACAAAAAGAAAAAAAGAAAAATCAATTAATCCAAAAAACAATTCGCTCATCAGAAATTGATACCTTTTGAGACTCAGTCAATAGATACAGCAAGATACAGCAATTAGACTTGTATATTGTAGAGGTAGGGTCTGGACCAAAGGTTTGTTCCCTAAACAGATCAATCAGAAGGAAAATTTGTCAAAATCTGATTCATTGAAGTGAAAAAGAGACACTTACATCAATTCAGGTTTAAGTTGGGCACATTTATGCAAGGAATAGTGGACAGACAGCTTGTCCTAAGATCTCTCCGCAGAGATTTCATTTGTGCCCCCATACCCTGCTTTGGGACAACCTGATGATTATGTGGAATCTTCTGCGTCTGCGCCTAAAGGGTTGGCTAAATTGTTAGCTATTGTTTGGCAGCTATCAATCCCGTGTCAGACGCTATTCAGAAGGATTACAGATTTGCCAAGCCATTGTCAACAGCGTTTGAGTTAATCTCAAACTTGAAAGGTCTGAGTCGGATTGCTTGTCAGAGCTCTGATTGACCAGGGTTCACTTCAAAGCTGGAGTCTATTTGTAGGTTGAGAACTACCGTGTTGCCAATAACATTGAATCTTCTGAGACATGGAAAGAGCAATCAAGTCGTCTTGAGTAGATATTGAGTCAATTGATATAGAAGAAAGGAATCTATTGAATCCTTGATTTACAAGATTACATATAATCTCATGTATCACAGCATTTTTGAATGTATTACAAATTGGGTCAAGGTACTGATCGGGCTTTTCCTTATCTTTGCTGTCTCCCACCATACGACCGCTCCAGCATGCCGTGAATGTTCACAATTGGGGTTTGTGGTTAGTTTTGGCCCTCGTCTGAAATGTCAATTGGGGCTTTCAAAAAACAAAACCAGATCTTGGCAACTATATTTTCTGTACCAATATAAAATCCTTACCTTTCAAGTACCTTTATGTTTCAATTGCTGAATTGTAGATTGTCTTCAGAATGTTTTCTGCAAGCTTGATGTACCAAGTTGTTCATTTTGCATCCAAAGCAGCACCCAAAGTCATCCATATCATACCACTGCCACCTATATCAGTAGCTTCCTTCAGGTACTTATCAATCTGTGTTTTCCCCTTTCTCTCTTGGAATATGTAATCAAAAGCAAGAATTCCCCTGATTGTTTTCCTCTCCCTCTGCACATCAAGCCATGTGCCCTTCCCTCTTGGGCCATCTACACCAAGTATCTTATCAGCCTAGGGTTCTTATTGTGAGGAATACTAAATTCATTTACATTTTGACAATTTTGAGACAGGTTGACGGAATCACACCCTCATCATCCTTGCCGGTAGAATGTTTTGTCAGTCTTGTTACACACTTTTTGTTCGTTCCAAGACTAAGAAATTTTATGATATTGGCCTAAACCAAAGTGAGTAACAACAGGAAGTCTTTCTAACTGTGCCATTTGGAGCCCATGTTGTGGTTTGCTCATTTAGTTTCTCAATGGGGATGTTACAATTGGATTGTACCAACCACTGTCCTTTGTGCTACTTTTGTTATTCTATCAGTGAGTCTGCTTTCTGTTAAGGATTGGAAATCATCCCTGGTAAAGTGTCATGGTATTATGTAGGGGCAATGATGTTTATATTGAATTGCATAATCAAAAGAATTAGAACCATTCAATATTTGACATAATGTCCCAAAGAATCTACGTGTTCACAGAACAAATATGAACCTCCTATTTCTCCTATTTTCCTATAATGTACTGTCCTGTTTGAATGATGAGTTGTGCCCAGTTTCTGTTTCCATTTTATTTTTCTACTTCTATTTCATTTACTTTCCATCTCATATCTTTTGTATCATAATAAGTTAATCACTCAAGAAGTCTAATCACGTTATAACAACTCTAAAGATCACCACGACAAAACAGTCTTGTTGAGAATAACTAATTGCAGGAGGAGATCGCTACCAAGCTATTGTTATAAGGTGAATAAATCAACTAGTGATTGTTATAAAACCAATAAAAATATTGTATTAATCTTGCTTTCAATTGTAGACAACAGTAGGGACTATCCACTAATCCTAATAGTTACTTATACTCAACGAGTTCATACCTGTGTTGATCTTGTTTTAGGTAATCAAACTTTGTCTACATCAATCTCATTATACTATGCTATGTTATTGACTTTTCTTGTTTTAGTTGTTTGTTTTCTATTTTGTGTTCTGTTGCTGCAATAAAGACCTCAAGATCTCTAATTGTTTCACTTTCTTTGTGATCCCTAGACCTCCGGAGGATGATCCTGATTTTGCGTCCATCACTTTTGCAAGTTGCAACCATTGATATCCTGTTTAAACATCTAGCGGCTACCATGGATCTGGCATGGCCAATTTTTTTGCTAGGTATCAAGTGTACCATCACAATGACATGTCCATGGTGAGCGTGATTTTACATAGAAACCCCAAAATTGTCAAGTGCTGACCAGGTGTATTTG